TTGGGGATAAAAAAAACAACCCAAATAGCAGCAGCAATCTTGACAAAGAAGAACAAAGTAGGAGAGATCTCAATACCAGATATCAAGCTGTATTACAAAAGTCACTTTTCTCAAAACTGCCTGGTACTGGCACAAGAACATACACATAGACCAGTGGAACAGAAAAGAGAACCCAGAAATCGAACCAAACCATCAACATTTGACAAAGGAGGCAAGAGCATACATTAGAGGCAAGAGCATACATTAGAATCAAGATAGTCTCTTCAATAAATAGTGTTGGGAAAATTGTGCAGATACATAAAAAACAATGAAACTTGACCACCAACTTTCACTATACACAAAAATAAACTCAAAAAACCGGGTCCAGCCCGGCCGGCGTGGCTCAGTGGTTGAGCAGGGCCCCACGAACCTGGAGGTCACGGTTCGATTCCTGGTCAGGGCCCATGCCCCGGTTGCGGGTTCAATCCCCAGTAGAGGGCGTGCAGGAGGCAGCCGATTAATGATTCTCTCTCATCATTGATGTTTCCATCTCTCTCTCCTTCTCCCTTCCTCTCTGAAATCAATAAAAATATATTTTAAAAATTAATAAAATAACCCCTCACTGGACTTGGAGGCCCAAGTCTGGGATGACCTAGCGGGGACTAGATGCCCGGCATCCAGCCACCTCTCCCAGCGTGGCTCACAGCGAGGGGTGGCATGGGGTCTGCATGAGGGCAGGGGCGTGAGAGGAACACAGGGGTTTGTGGGAACCTCTGCTATATCTTCCCAAACATTTTAACAAACTACCCAAAGTGAGCAGCAGGCTCTGAGAGGGAAACTCGATGGCCCAAAGGGGCCACGGCGTGGGGGTCTGGGGTGAACAGTGCTGACAGAGCCCCCCCACACACACGCCTGGCATCGGCACTGACCCCATCCTAGGCAGCAGACAGGGACCACTTTGCAGACGGAGGGGCGTTGCTAGGCCATGCACGCTCCTGTCCCTGCCCTCAGCGGCCGTATGACAGCCGAGGAGGAGAGAGGGTGATGGGCCTGGCTGTCCACCGTCACCAGCCGCTGCCCGGAGCGTGAACTCAGGCCCCGAGCCCCAGTTCTGCCCATGATCTCTCCTTTCTAGAAAGGTCAGGAGCCTTCCTCCAGGCACGAGCTGGGCAGCGAGCCTGCGGGTCAGCAGCTCCAGCGGCAGAGAAGGCAGAGATAATCGCTGGCCGTTGGTCATTAGCGCTGAGCTCCTGTTTTACGGCCGCCCGACCTCTGGCTGCGTGGGGCCGGCATCATTCAATCCTGGCTCGCGGCCAGGCCCCGGCTCATTTCATTTTACGGCCGTCTGGCGAAAATGAGTTTTAAGGAGCCTTAACTGGTGCTGGGATGGCTCTGAGGATATTGCATGTGAAGGCTGGGAGATGAAGATTTAATAGCGAGCAAGAGGCTGTGGACGGCTGGGCAGCACGGCCGGGCGTGGCCGCCCCCGAGGACGACCCTCAGGAGAGCCGGGCGGCCGGCAGATAAGGATCGGCCTGTCGGGCCCATTCAGGCCTTTTGCCCAGTGATCCTGACCAGGCCTCCGGGGTGTCTCCACCCCCCGGGGTGGGGGCAGGAGGGGAGGGTGCGCACCATCGCTCCTTCCCTGCCAGAAAGCGCCGCATCCTGGTTCCTCCGCCTGAGAGCAAGGACCAAATACAACCCAGCCAGCGCAAGCTGACACTGAACACGGCCCTACTCTGTCTGACCGCTGCTCTCAGGTTGCAGGGAGGAGGGCAGTCAGGGGCATTACAGTGAGGTTGTCGCTGGGATAGTGAAGCCCAGGACCGTGGGACCCCAGAGAAGGCCCCTGATGTGGCCAGTCATCAGGGAGGGCTTCCCGGAGGAAGAGGTATATGAGCCGCATCTGGAAGGGGAGAGGGACTGGCCAGGTGAGGGAGCTGAGAGGTGTTGGGGTTGCACTGCAGGTGGGGAGCAGCCTCCTGGGAGAGGCCAGGCTCACAGTGTGGTTTCCCCTCCCACCCCGTGGCCTGGCCTGGTGCCATGTGGCCGTGGACCCGTGTTTCCAGCCCAAGGTGCCTTTGTTCCCTGCCGTTGTCTTAGGAGGAGACATGCCAGCAGGATGGGGCGGTTCTGGGAGGAGCCGTGGGCGTGCTCAGGGCCTGTGCCCGGCGGGAGGGCAGGCCCCGTGTCCCCACCTGGCGCTGTCTGAATTGCTATGCACTATTACCCCCAGCTCCCCGGCAGGCCGCGTGACCCTGCCTTACAGATGGGGCAGCCCCCCTAAAATGCAAGGTGGCTTCCCCAAGGTCACAGACGAGCTTGCCCAAGGTCAGAGACTGACACCAGGGCCCAAATCCTGGCCCGTGTCCTTCCGGTGGCCCACGTGCCCTTAGGAACTCGACTCAGAACCAGCCCCCGCTCTGATGAGGGAGGCGGGGCCCGCAGGGGGTCAGCGGAGGGCAGAGGGTTCTCTGCTCGGGGCCGCAGCCGGGAATGTCCGCCGCGGGACGCTCTAGCGGGACTGCGGGCCGTTCACAGACCCGGGCCGGGTTGCCTGCCCCACGGATGGGCCCACCGGTCACCCTCACTTCACAGATGAGGAAACCGAGGCCTGGAGAGGGGAGTGGCTCACTCACGTAGGCAGAGGGAGGGGGGGCTCGGGGGGCTGTGCCTCCGCGAGACCCCAGGCTCCGTGGAGAGACAGATGGGGCCTGGCTGGGCGGCTGGGTGGGTCTTTGCACGGCCACACCCACACCCTCCGCTCTGGCCCCGGCAGGTGCACCGGGGCATCAAAGGGGTGGTGATGGACAAGTTTGGCAAGCCGGTCAAGAACGCCCGCATTTCGGTCAAGGGGATTCGCCACGACATCACCACAGGTGGGCACCTTTCTGGGCTTGCGTCCTGGCCCAGGTCCCCGCATGCCTGGGGCGACCTGACCCGTCCCCCTCCTGTCTGAGCGGTGAGGGTGCACGGAACAGGTCTGCTCGCCACCAGCTGTGTCTCCTGCGGCATTTGGCCCCCGGGGACGCGCTCAGGTTCTGGGTGCCAGCAACAGGCCACACGCGCTCCCTGCTCCTCAAGAATAGCTACAGGAAAAGCCACCTTCTCACACACCATGGGGGGCAGCCTCCAGCCCCGGGCCTGTGTGCTCCTATCCCAGAGTTCATGTCCCACTGACACCTGGCACGTCCAGTGGGCTCAGGTGTCCCAGGGTTTCACAGCGGATTTGAAAATCGTGATGCGCTGTGATGTGAGTTACCTGGTGCAGAGGAGGGAGGGAGGGGGGACGGTGTGGTTTGGGGACAGAGGGAGGGGGGATGGTCTGTGAAGGCTTCAGAGAAGAGGTGGTGCCTAAGTGGGGTTTTGAGGGATGAATAGGAGCGTGATAGAGGGAGGAGGTGGGAAGAACAGTCCAGGTTGTTACAGAGGCCAGGGTACCCGTGGGTTCTCTCTGCCCTCCAGGCCAACCGCCCACTGACTCCCATCCCCACCCCCTCGAGGGTGACCCTGAGCCCAGGTCCGAGCACCATTCCCTGCTCTCTGTCAACAGCCCCGGATGGCGACTACTGGAGGCTGCTGCCCCCGGGGACCCACATCGTCATCGCTCAGGCCCCCGGCTACTCCAAGGTCATCAAGAGAGTCACCATCCCCGCCCGGCTGAGGAGGGCGGGCCGCGTGGACTTCATCCTCCAGCCCCTGGGAACTGGACACAAGAAATTCCTTCAGGGGCCTCGGCGAAGCGGGCCAGGGCTCCGAGACCCGCCAGGAGGCGCGGG